AAGGGGCTAGTGGCTGAGTTCAGCCCAGTGTGAGGCATAAGGCCAGTGGCCATGTAGAGTAGGGTGCACAGTGGCCCCTGAACAGCTGCATGTGGGCCAGCCAGAGAGTGAATAGCAAAACCTGAAGGACACGGAGCAGGGTGGATTTGAGAGTGGCCCAGTGAGGCGCAGTATGAAAGAGGCCCTGTGAGAGGGGGCAGCATGCAAGAGAGGATGATAGAGGCCCACCAAGGGGAAGACTGTAGCTTGGCCCTGAACTGGTGCTATAATCCACTTATGATGCCATCTGTGAGGCATGGGACACAGTAAGGGAATGTCAGAGCCATGTGTAAACCCCTTAGCATCAAGGTATTAAATGGGCAGCCTCCCGCTTATTATAACAGGTAGCCCAACAAGTTGTGGCAGGCGAGGTAGCACAGACTTCCCTAGACGAAGTAGTAGGCCGGTATGGTGAAGGGCCACAAGTAGGCACCTTTCGTCTGCTATAGACCACCAGACCCAGAGGAAGTGGTGCATGAGGCTTTCTTCAAACAGCTAGTGGACGTTTCCGAATCACAGGCCCTGGTTCTCATGGGGGACTTCAATCACCCTAACATCTGCTGGAAAAGCAATACAGCAGTGCACAGGCAATCCAGGAAGATTTTGGAGAATGTTGGGGACAACTTCCTGGTAAAGTGCTGGAGCAACCAACTAGGGGCCATACTCTTCTTGACCTGCTGCTCACAAACAAGGAAGAATTGCTGGGGAATGTAGAAGCGGATGGCAACTTGGGCAGCACTGATCGATTGAGTTCAGGATACTGAGGAAAAGAAGGATGGAGAGCAGCAGAGTAAGGGCCCTGGACTTCAGAGAAGCAGACTTTGACATGCTAAGGAAACTTATGGGCACAATCGCCTGGGAGGCTAGTCTGAGGGGAAGAGGAGTCCAGGAGAACTGGCTGTACTTAAAGATGCCGTACTGAGAGTTCAGGAACAAACCATCCTGATGTGCAGGAAGACTAGTAAATATGGCAGAAGACCAGGGTGGTTTAGCAGGGAACTCTTCAATAAACTAAATCACAAAAAGGAAGCTTATAAGACGTGGAAACTTGGACAAATAACTAGGGAAGAATATAAGAGCATTGCTCAGGCATACAGGAATGAAGTCAGGAAGGCCAAAGTGCAATTGGCATTGCAGCTAGCAAGGGATGTGAAGAGTAACAACAAGGGTTTCTACAAGTATGTTAGCAGCAAGGGGAGGATCAGAGAAAGTGTGGGTCCCTTACTGAATGGGGGAGGCAACCTTGTGACAGAGGATGCAGAAAAGGCTGAAGTACTCAATGCCTATTTCACTTCCATCTTCATAGGCAAGGTCAGATCCCAGACTACTGCACCGGGCAGCACAGTTTGAGGAAGAGGTGAGCAGCCAACAGTGGCAAAAGAACAGGTTAGTGACTGTTTGAGAAGCTGGATATGTACAAGTCCATGGGGCCAGCTAGGATGCACCTGAGGGTGCTGAGGGAGTTGGCTGATGTGATTGCAGAGCCATTGGCCATCAACTTTGAAAACTAATGGTGATCAGGAGGGGCACACACAGTGCCCATATTTAAGGAAGAGAAAAAGGAGGATCCAGGGAACTACAGACCAGTCAGCTTCACCTCAGTCCCTGGAAAAATTAGAGAGAAGATCCTCAAAGAATCCATTTCTCAGCACTTGGAGGAGAACGCAATGATTAGGAACAGTCAGCATGGATTCACCAGGTATAAGTAATGCCTGACCAACCTGACTGCTTTCTATGACAAGGTGACTGGTTTTGTGGATGCAGGGAGACTAGTGGATGTGGTACACCTTGATTTTAGCAAGGCTTTTGATACCATCTCCCACAACATTCTCATAGGCAAGCTAAGGAAGTACAGGCTGGATGAATGGACTGTAAAGTGGATAGAAAACTGGCTGGAGCATTGGGCTCAGAGAGTAGTAATCAATAGCCCAGCATCTAGTTGGCACCCGGTATCAAGTGAAGTGCCTGAGGGGCAAGTCCTGGGGCCAGTTTTGTTCAATACCTTCATCAATGACCTGGAAGATGGGATGGAGTGTATCCTCAGCAAGTTTGCAGATGACACCAAGCTGAGGGGACTAGTAGATATGCTGAAGGGTAGGGTTAGGATTCAGAGCGACATAGACAAAGTGGAGGATTGGGCCAAAAGAAATCTCAAGAGGTTCAACAAGAACAAATGCAAAGTCCTGATTTAGAACAGCACAATCCCATGCACTGGTAGAGACTGGGGGCTGACTGGCTGAGCAGCAGCTCTGCAGAAAAGGACCTGGGGGTTACAGTGGACAATAAGCTGAATATGAGCCAGCCGTGTGCCCTCGATGCCAAGAGGCAACCAGCATACTGGGCTGGATTCGTAGGTGTGTTGCCAGTAGACCAAGGGAAGTGATTATTCCCCTCTATTCAGCACTGGGAAAGCCACATCTGGAGTACTGTGTCGGGCCTGCCACAACAGAAAGGATGTGGACAAATTGGAGAGAGTCTAGCGACAGACAACAAAAATGGTTCAGGGGCTGGGACACACAACTTATGAGGACAGGCTGAGGGAACTGGGCTTATTTAGTCTAGAGAAGAGGAGACTGAGAGAGGATTTAATAGCAGCCTTCATCTACCTGAAGGGGAGGCTCAAAAGAGGATGGAGCTAAACTGTTCTCAGTGGTGGCAGATGACTGAACAGGGAACAACTGTCTCAAGTTGCAGCAGGGGAAGCTTAAGTTAGATATTAGGAAGAATGTTGTCACTCAGAGGGTAGTAAAACACTGGAGTAGGTTACCCAGAGAGGTGGTAGAAGCTCCATCCTTGTTGGTTTTTAAGATCAGGCTAAACAAAGATTTGGGTGGGATGATCTAGTAGGGGATGGTCCTGTTTTGAACAGGGGGCTGGACTAGATGACCTCCTGAGGTCCCTTCCAACCCTAATTTTCTATGATTCTTGGGCACACAAAATGAAGTAGGCCCTTGGGAGCTAGCTGCTACAATGCTGTGGCTCTCTCCATTGCTTTTCACAGAGGTAAAAGCGTATTAACCTTTAGCTTATTGTCAGATACACTAGATATAAGCATCAGAAAAGAGACACTTTACAGACTACCTTTTAGCTGGGTTTTTTCCTGCTACAGCTCCCCCATTCTAAGCAATTACTCAGCAAAAAAATATAGCACTAAATTGTTCTGCTCCAAGTTGTGGAATGTAAAGAACCAGTACCATGGCCTCTAAGATTTTCTACATTACAGGCAAAGGAAGAGCAGATAATATGCTGCCTCTCTTATCTTGCCACTAGACACTGCTGCTGAGCTGGCAGGATAATAAAATGGGAGGGAAGGTCAGAATAGCTTAGCAGGTCAAATGTGGGTCAAACTTGACATTTACAGATTATTCAGTCCATATAGAAGGGAAAGTATATTTATTTTTCTATCTATCTACATACTTATTTGGTCTTCATCAGTACACCTGAGCTCCCAATACCATGTATATAGGAATATGTATATAATTGTGTCATTATTTCTATAAGTATATATAAATATACTAAAGTTATATTAATATGTTTGTATAAGAAAATTATTTATATATGTGATGTATAATAATATCATTTATTATAATATTGTGGTTTTTTTAATTGTGCATCTATATAATTAAATAAAACAGTTCAGAAACATTGTCTAGCAGTCAGATAAGAAGCAATACAAAGAGAAGTACAAAAAGTCCCCTCGAACTCTGACTGACAAATTTAAAAAAAAAAACCCACAACAATCAAACCTTAACCAAACAACTAGAATTTATTGCTGCCCTTGATAATGCCATGAGAAAAAAAAAGCATTAATTTGTGAGTATTGCTATTATTTCAATAAGGACACTAATTTATCAAACAGATTTATTGTTTTATAACCACATTATTGAATAATAATTAATATGACTATTAATGTGGTTATAAAACGATACACTGATCATATTATTTATATCATTTGTACTGAAATTTTTACAATGAATTATTTATTGTTATAGTTTTATATGTATTAGCTTTTATTATGAATGCTCTAGTCAGACTTCCATTTAGCTGGTCATTGTACAAACAAATAAAAGAAAGGTGTCCCAGACTCAAAAAGCTAGCTCTTAGATGATGGTAGAATGCAACGGGTTTAATTTTAACTTTAAAAAGTGTAATTTTTTGTATTTGAAAAATTATAATTCTTTAAATCTATTAATTACTATCACTTAATTATATTCTATTTTAATGATGACTCAATCATAGAAATGCAATCTTGCAAATTTAGTGAAATTCTAAATTGCTTTAGCCAATGTTAATGGCATTTTATTTACTGTACTAAATAAGAACTAAAAAGGACCTTTAACTGTGAATATATATTACTGTTACATATAGTGCTAATCCTAATGTTATTAATACTGCTTTTAAAATACTATTACTAATATTGTTATGGGCTATTGATAATAGTATTATCATCCTGATCAAGGCTCTGGAAGAATTCCTTGCAGAGTCAAAATTCCTACTGACATCAATGGATATTTTGGGGTATGCTGGGCATAGATCAGACTTGATAAATGTGAAAAAATATTTCAGAAGCAATGAGATGTGGAAAAATTGGGAGCAAAGATAAAAGCAGAGATTAAGTAGACACAAGGCTAGATCCTATTTCACCTTTACACATCCATATGGCACTTACATAGCCTTTTAAGTATAGTTTTTGGCATTTGCACTAAGTTGCTGTTTGCACTTGCACCACTACACTGGCTCTGCCCTTCTGTTCTGAGCATGCTTGGAAGGCTGCATGCTGGCTGCACATATGGGCAGACAGGCTGAACCGAATCAGTATAGCAGTTCCAATGTTCTTATTTTACCATATCATTCTTATAGACAAAAATTATTAAGGAAGTTATCTATAGATTAAGAAAAAACACAGTGTATCAAGGCATACCCCATTCTTGTTCCAAGATGAATTAAAAACTGTTAACTACCTTCTGATGGAGTTGGTTTTGATTTGCTCTTGGACTTCTGGCTTTCACAAGGGTGAAAAATCAGCTGTTGTAAGACAGCAGGACATATCGTGTGGAGACTGGAATTTGTTATCTGGCTGTTATTCGGCAACCCATGAAGAAAAAAGATGTCCTCAGCAGACAGGCACTGGAGCAAAATGAACAAAGCAAATTGTATGTCAGTTTAATAAATAATAAATAAATGACAAAAGAGGGGACTAATTGCTGTAGGAACAATCTTAATTGGTACAAAATATACAGTGCCAGATTTCCCAAGAATGCACTGACTAATAGTAATATTTGCATTAAACTACCATGATTGCCTGTGAATGCTGGATGGAATTTTCATAAATGCTGAACTAACTTAGGAGCAGAATTCACAATTTTAGTCAATGTGATATATGTTTCTGCGTCACTTAGAAGCTTTTGAGTATCTCAGCTCTTGCATATATGCATGGACTCAAAGCCATAGCTTAAAGTAGGCTTTAAAAACATTGGCACACATCATGTAAAACCTGTCGGTAACCACCAAATAATTAAACCCAAGTCTATATTGGACAGAATTTAAAATGTCATTGACAACATATCAGCCAATGATTGTTAATATTGATAAATATTTTAACCCACTCCTTTTTCATCTTTCTAAAAAACTCAGAATGATCTTAACACAAACCCTGTACAGTGGTTTTATTCATTTTGTAACAGCAACTGTTGTGAGAATAAATCAGAACACATTTGCTTTGACAAATACATTCTAGTGAGGCAAAAAATGCTCTCTAGGGCTTCATGATCCCCTTACCTCAGAGCATGCTAGTACCTCATGTTTAAATGTAAATGTATTTTACATTAAGATGGCATGGCAGAAATTCCTGGCTCCTTTTATTCTCACGGACCCAGAGGAACAGACTTCCACCTTCAGCTTCCTCTGTGCAAAAATGAAGTTTATTTTCTACTTATGGTGACTTTTTACCATCTTTAGTTTTCCCTGAGCCTAAGGAAGGGCGCATGTGCCTGAAAGCTTGCAGAAAAAGATTTTTGTTTTGCAATTTCTTAGTTGGTCTAATAAAAGGTATCATCTCTGAACCAAGAGTTCTAGAGTTCTGCATTCATTTTGGCTCCTTTTACCAAACAGTTGCTAAACAGAAAACTTTTAATTTTAGTAACATGGATGTGACCAAGTCATTTCAGAGTGCACAAACAATTTTAATACCTCTTTTTTTTCATTCACACTCCTGTATTTCTATAAACTCTATTTGAGTGTATCAACAAGACAAGTAATTTTTACCTCTGTAATAAACACAGGCCAAGGATGAGTCTTGAGTCAAGTGAATGATTTTCATTCATAACCAGACTATAACTATTTCTTATTAAACACAAAGTAATAAAACTCTTGGGTCAAATTGAATATTGCAGTAACTCAGATAAATTCAGTAGAGTTTGCATCCACGTGTAATGTATTTTGTTGTATATAACACGCCCAAGACAGGCACCTTGTCTTTAGAAAGGCAAAATGAAGGGGGAAAAAATCCCCTCCCACCAGAGTTATGGACACAAAAAGCAGGGACAGAGCCTGAACAGAAACACCATGGCTGCTGCCAGGCAGTTGGTTTTAAATTTGGGTGGAGCAGGAATCAAAGCATGCTGATCCTCCCCTGCTGGGTTCCACCCCTCCCTCCATGCAGCTTCTGGACAAGAGAAGGAAAAGAAGCAGCATACCTCTTGCAGCACCTCCATATTTCCATACTGGGTAGAAAAATCAGCTTCTCTACTTAAGACATGCACCCCAATTTTAGAAGGCTAATTTTGGGGGGCAATGGTGCATGTAGTATTCATGTAAATACAATACCCCTCCTGTCAATAACCCAAATCAGGAAATCATCTTTATTCACGCATTCCCACTCATGGGGACACACCCTAAGTGCCTCTTACTTTTAGAAAATAAAATAAAGTTTGTCTGTCCCATACATTTGTTTTTATTTTGACAATGTATGCAAACAAAGTCAAGTATTTTAATTAAGTCTGTGAGTAAATTTAAACATGATTTTTTCCTACCTGTCTACTTAGATGATGACATTATCTTAGCAGCAGGCTTATCTTGTTTTACTGGTTTGTTTTACTGGTTCATTTATTGTCAAGCCATGGGTTTTCTTGTCAGTTTTATAAAATGGCCTAGTTTCAATATTTAAAATAATCATAGGTCAGTGTCATAAAACATCTTTGTATTCTAAACCTTGGCATTACATTCGATTGGGGGGGGGGGGTAGTCAGCCATGTTAATCTGAACTCAGTCACAAGACAAGGTAGATATGCACCTTTATAGGATAACTATATAAAATTATACATAGCAAGAGAGCACAAACTTTCATGAACCCAAGTTCACTTCATCATCATTGCATTTGATGCCACTACTCATCTCAGTGGAACTACTGTATATAGTCATTGTCACTAAGGGCACAGTCTAAAGTGAATCTCTATTGTGTACTTTGCACTGGTTTCATGCCCAGTGCTTCTACTGCAAATGCTGTAAACTTAAAAAGCGTTAACTCAGAACCCCTTTGGAACAGAGAGGACAGTTTCAACCTATAGCAGTGGTTTACATAATGTGGCTTTTGGACTAATAAACCCTCTAATGAGACCTCTCTGCCAATCCATGGCAAAAAGCTTCTGAAAATTGTAGAGGGAGTAAGGTTTCATAAGAAGATTCATCCTTTACTGATCTACTAAAGTCATGTCTACACGTGACGCTACGTTGCTGTAGCAACGTGCTATGGTGATGTAGTGTCCATAGACATCTACATGTGACCAGCAGCTATGTCGCCATAGTGACATGCTCCCCCAGTATAGTGTGCCACTATGGCAAAGCACCTGCTAAAAGTAACTGTGCACAACACGTACAACACCGTAGAGGCTGTTACTGCACTGTGATTTAGTACTTCAAAAAGGAACTAAATCAGGGAGCAGTAACAACGTCACCATAGCAACATGTGTAGACGCGCCCTAAGAAAATATACTTTAAGCCAGTGTATCCATCTTTTAATTAACTTGATGTCCCAAAAAAGTTGATAATGGCATGTTATTGAGGGCAGCAAGACAAGTGAATAATTGTTCTAATTCTACAAGTAGAACAGCTGTATAGCTACTGTGAAACTTACTAACAATTCCTCTGTGTGCTTGAGACGTATTGGGCTCCTATACATGTGCAGGGAGGCTGCTCCGATGTGCTGTAACTATAAAGTAGCACTCTAGAGCAGACTTGATGAATCGATTTTGTTGGAGTGTGGTAATTATCATGCTCCAGCAGACTCCAGTGTCATGTGTATCAGTGTCCTGGCATTGAAAAATAGCGGTGGGGCATTTTAAACTAAAGCTCGTTCAGTGAGCGTTAGTTCAAAGCACCCCACTGCTATTTTTCAGCGCGAGGACGCTGATACATGTGACCCTCCGGGCAGTTTTAATTAGTGCGGCTCATGGAGCTGTGCTAATTAAAGCCCCCGCCCCCACCACCACCACCTCCCAGAGCACATCTATAAATGTCCATGAATAAGCTTGAGGTTTGGAACTTTCATTACATGTGGTTAAAGAAACTATCAATGGATAGCATCTATTTCAAAAGTATGAAATAGAAGTATGTAAGGGTT